GCCCTTCCATGTTGGAAGCAGAAAGTTACCTTCCTCCAAACTTTTCCATTTCACCCACCCTTTTTGTAGGCTTTACTTTGAATCCAGAGTCTATAGGTCTTGCTGTGTCACGCTGCCTCTGGGTTTGGTGATTGATCACCCGTCAATTGGAGACATGACTTTCAGCCTCGGACTGGGCTTTGATCTTCCTTCTATTGTACCTTTTCTTTTTAGGGTGGATTCTTCTTACTTTGTTAGGGCTCTTGTCTGCATCTTCAGCCCTTGGTGTTTGAACTCTATTTCATCAGGACAGGCTGGGGCTGGAGGTTGATTCCATCATCCATACATCCCTCATTCACACATCTAAACTAAACTAATAAGATTACAGCAGGGTTTGCAAAAATGAAGGTTGCAGCAAGCTAGGGGGTCTGTTCTGCAGGGAGTGGGGTGGGGGGATTGTGGCTGAACCATCTGATCCACTTCCCCCCCCCCACCTCTCCTCCAGATGCCCCTCGTCCAGGTCTCTCTGCCGGGGCCGTCGCTGGGATCGTCATCGGGTCACTGGCGGGGGCGGCGCTGGTTGGAGTCGGGGTCTATTTCCTCTGTGAGTAACAGCCTCCCCCTGCCCCCCCACCGGTGAGCCAGGATTCCTGGGTTCTATCCCCAGCTCTGAGGGGGGGGGGTCTGGTGGGTTAGAGTGGGGGGGCTGGAAGGCAGCACCCCAATTCCAGCACCTCTGATGATTCCCCCCCCCCAGGTTCAGGCCGCCAGAGCAAGACCCCCAGGCGGGGTGAGATGACCCCCCCCAGAGTACGAGAACCAGCCCCCCGCAGCCCGGGCGGGCCCAGCGGTGAGTGACATGCGCTCAGGTCTCCTGCTGTCCCAGCCCTGGGGTCCCCCCTTCCCAGACCTCAGCCGGGGTGTCACAGCTCTGCAGGCCGGTGCCCTCACCCGGCTCTGAGACATTCCCTGGGGACCCCGTCAGCCTGCTGGTCCTTGGGGTCCCACTCTCCCTGGGGTCAGCCCCTCGGCTTCCCCGCTCCCGGGGCCGACCCTTGGAGCCTGCAGCCCTCTGGGTCACCCCAGGAGCCCCCCTGGGTAGGGACACAGTGGTGCTGGGACAGTTTTTGGAGTGGGGGTGCTGAGCTGTACCCCCCTTACCCCGTCTGTGCCCCTCACCGCCCCCTAAAGCTGAGGTCGGGAGCCATGGTTCTGGGAGGGGGGGGGGACACAGACGGGTGTGAGGTGGCGGAGGCTGGGGCCACAGTTAGGGAGGGTGCAGAGCCCCAGGCGTGGGGCTGGTGGCCGGGACGCTGGCCACAAAACCTGGTGGTGCTGCAGCACCTCCGGCATCCCCACTTCCCGCCCCTATGGTAGGACACCTCGGGGAGACTCGAACCCCCAACGGGAGCCCCCCCGACTCTGCAGTGACTCAGCCAGTGTGTGAACACAGGCAGGTTATTGGGTGTCTGGACCCAGCATCAAGAACGGACAGTTACAGCCTGGGCCCCCTGGGTCAGGCCGGAGCCCGGAGCCCCCCTGAGCCCTCTGCAGTCCCAGGCCAGCCACCTCCTGCTTCCAGCAGCCCCCATGTAACGACCCCCCGGCCCCTCCTGGTCTTGCCCCCCCACCCCCCTGTGAGCCTCCTAAGGGTCTCCTAAGGGGTGGGGGCATCGCTGGGCATTTGTTGCTAGGCGCCAAATGCCCAGGCAATGGGAGGGGCCGTTGTCTTCTGGGGCTGTCCATTGTGCCAGGGCCCCAGGCAGCCCGGCGTCGGGCAGGCTGGTCTCTGCAAGGAGAGAAGAACCCTTCCCCCACCTCGGTAACCAGGCACCACCTAGGGGAAACTGAGGCACACATAATAGTCATCCAAAATATTATGAAAAATTCCTGCTTTGTCACATGGTGCCCCTCCCTCCCAACCCGCAGCCCCTGCTAGCCCAGCCCTGGGCTCCCCCCAGCTCTGCCGGTGCCCCTCACTCCTGACCTGCAGCCCTCTCCCTTTTCCACGCTCTCTGTGGGGGTCAGGAGTGTCCCAGTCTCCTGGGGCTCATTAGCTCCCCTCCCCCTTGGGCTTGTCTGGGGGCGTCTCTCGGATCCAGTGACCCACCTGTCTTATTCTCTTCCCCAGGCCCCGCCCAGGAGCCCCCCAGACACCAGCCCACATATGAGGTAGGTGCCAGCCTGGGGGGGGTCCGAACTCGATGTGGGGAGTGGGGAGCTGCCCCCAATACAGCCCTGTAGGTGGGAGGGGGCCCCGTGTTGGGGGGAGGCTACAGGGTACTGGGGGGGGGAATGTGGGGAGAGGCCCCCCGGGGCTGTTGTGTCTCTGGGGGGGGGGGGTGGGCTCCATGGGGGAAGTGTCCCCAGCTCCCCCCATAATGTCTCTGACCTCTCCCCATTTCCCCAGACGCTGCAGCCCGGACAGCGGGACGTGTATGACCAGCTGCAGAGATGAGGCCTCCCCAGTGCCCTGGTGCATGCTGGGAAGATCCCTGTGTGACGAACTGGGCCTGTTCTTGCTGGGGTGTGTGAATGCTGACAGGCGAGTGTGGCTAGGATGGTCTGCATCGGGGGAGGGGAGTCTGCCCGAGGGCGCATACCTGAGCTTGTAACATGAGAACCCAGGAGGGGGTTGAAGGCCAGGTGACTCCGGGGCCCGGGAAACTGAACAAAGGCTGTGGGAGGGGTCGCTGAAGGCAGAGTGCTGGAAGCGGGTTGGAGAGATGGCTGGGAGGCAGAGATGGCTCTGACCCCCCAAAGGGGGGTGGGCTGGAATGCCCTGGGACCCCAAGCTGGACTTAACTGAGGGGGTCCTGTTGTCTGCGCCTGCAAGACCTGTCTTGGACTGTATTCCTTCTGCTTTACTGGCTGGCTGAGAGTCATGGTGAAACGCAGGAAGCCGGGGGTGCAGGGCCCTGAGTCCCCCAATACTCCGTGACAACTGGTGGCAGCGGTGGGATCTACTGCACCCCGTGGACGGTGCTTCCTGCAGTAAGTGACTGGGGAGCAGTAAAACGAAGGGGGATTGACGGGAACCAGGCGTGCTGAAGAGTGAGAGAGAGACGGTTATTACCCCTGGGAGTGTGTGACCAGCGAGAAGGACTTTTGCAGTAACAGTGTCCCCCGGGGGGATCGCAGCGAGTGGTCCCAGGGGCGGAGGAGTCTGCAGCTCAACCCTGGCAGAGAGGTGGTGACCTCGAGAAGGGCTGGCACACTAGGGGGCCCCCTGGGAACTGTGGGGAGCTGTGAG